AACGCTCGTGACCCTGTCCACGGACGCGGGCTGGGCCCCACACGTCCATGTGAAGAGTCTGTAGGGGAGCCTCTGTCGGAGGGAACGTGGAGGAGTGAGGAGCGGCGCGCTGCCGGCCCAAGACACAAGGAACACAGGTAGGGGCAGGCCCCAGAGGAAGGGGAGGGAGGGACCGGGGGAGACCAGAGACAAGGGTACGGGAGGCCATACCTCGAAGACGAGGCAGGGAGGGGTGACCAAGGCGGTGGTGCCAAAGGAGAGTCTCGTGTGACAGAGGACGACATGAGCAGGGGGCAGACGCTGGACTAGACCTGAACGCGGCAGTAAACACCTGACCCGACGCAGCTACCTGACCAGACGCTGTAACTGGAGGAGACGCAGTAGTCAGTGTGTACAGACTCGACCGAGGCCGACGTGTGAACGTGGCCAGGTGGCGGCCCGTCCGAGAGCAAGTGCAGTGGGTCACACGCTGACCTCCAGGGGTGAACTGGTCAACCCACATGTCCTGAAGGTCAGCTCCACTCACCAAGTTCGTAGAGAACGAGGGGAGGTGGAGTCTCGAGAGCAAGCCCGACGGGGCCGCAGGACACGGTAGAACCGCGGAAGAGTGTGCAAGGACAGGGCCCCCAGAGGGGTCAGCCAGGGAGACTGCGACAGGCCGAATGAGCAGCGTGAATGTGGTGCTATCGCGAAAGAAAGAGCACGAAGCACCAGAGTCAAGTGTGAAAGTGTGCAAGGCCTCAGTAGGTGCAGTACCAGAGAGAGCAGACTCACCAGCACCTGGAGCAGCAGACTCACTAGTTCCTGGAGCAGCAGACTCACTAGCACCTAGAGCAGCAGCCTCAATGCCCGGGTCGGGGGGAACACACAGGTAGCAGTCATCCTCAGCACTATTAGTCACAGCATACATGGCAGCAAGGATAGCATCGAAATCAAGATCAAAGATAGCAACATTCTGCCTAAGCAGATCACTTCAGCGAGGGAGCTCAACAGCGTCAGGAAACTGGGCGCGCCAGGCGTCAGTCAGGCGACCGAAGCAGCGCTGCGCAGTGTGTGGCAGCCCGCACGTCTCCCGACGACGCCCGCCGGTGCGAAGAACGTAAGTGCAGGGACCAACACCCCCAGACCTCCCACGCCCAGCGTACCACTCACGAAGCTGCTGGGTCGACGGGGTCTCACGAGAACGAAGCTGCTGCTGGCGCTGGCTACCACCAAAGCCTCCACGCTGCGCGGCTCCACCTCAACCAGCACCACCGCCGCCGCCACCTCCACCACCACTGCCGCTGCCTCCGCCGCCGCTGCCGCTGCCTCCACCACCCCCACCGCCGCCACCGTAGCCCCCACTCCAGCCACCACCCCCACCTCCACCGCGACCCCCTTCGCCTCCTCCACCACCTCCACTGCCGCCCCCACCGTCCCCTCCACCACCCTTGCCCCCCTTGCCCTTGCTATTACGGCGCCTCCCACTAGGAGCAGACGCAGCCCCGACCTCCTCAGTGCCAACGAGGTCGACAGCAGCAGTAGAAGCAACAGAGGGGAGAAGGGGAACAGGGGAACACCCCTTAAAGAAAGGGGCGCGAGGGTCGCCGCGAGAAGCACCTACAGCTAAGATAGTCTTCTCAGGTGCAGTGAGACGCTCCTCTAGAAGGTCGACGGTGAGCTCGGTGGGGCAAAGGGAGAGAAAGTGGTCCCTGACTGAAGCAAGGGAGTCAGGGAGGCCGGTGACTAGGTAGTAAAGGGTGATGTACATGGGGGGGGGGGGTTTCTTGGCACAGAACTCAGTGGGAAGCGCAGCGCGGTAGCGGGCGTCACTAGTGTGGAGGTGAGTAATGAGGTCAGCGACTGTGGCAAAGGCGGCAAGGTCAGGGAAAAGGTACGGCAGCATGAGGCGGCTGAGGGCAGCAGTGGCAGGGGAGGAGTAGCGCGCTACGACAGCGTCATACAAAGACTGAGCAGTCTTGTACTGGCCAAAGTGCGCGCGCTCAGGAGACGGCAGGTGACTACGAACAGCAAGGCGAGCAACAGCGTCACGAGTGGTCCACTGTGAGCGAACAGTACTGTCAGCAGTGGTAGCAGGTGCAGTAGAGACACCAGACGTGTGATCGAAAAGGGATACCCCGTCCCTAGAGTCACAGTGAAGAAAGAGCTGCAGGTCGTCAACCCACACGTCAAGGTCAACCGCACGCCCCTCAGCATCAAAGGTAAGAACAGTAGGGCTAGCCATAGCGGCAGTAGCAGCAGGAGCAGCAGTAGCAGCAGGAGCAGCAGTAGCAGCAGTGGCAGCAGAAGCAGCAGTAGCAGCAGGAGCAGTGCAGGCAGGGCAGTGCGGCTCAGTAGGGAGGCGCGGCTCGGCAAGGCGGTGCGGCTCGGTAGGGCGGCGCGGCTCGGCTGGGCGGCGCGGCTTGGTAGGGCGGCGCGGCTCGGCTCCTGGCGGTGCGGCGCGGCTCCTGGCGGCGTGGCGCGGCAGGGCGGCAAGGGTGCTTACCAGGGGCGGGTGCAGGGCAGGGCCGCAGCTGGCGGTTTAGGTCAGGGCCGCGACTGGGGCGGCAGAAGGGCAGGGCCGTGACAGGGCGGCTGCAGGGTTGGGCCACGACGGGCGGCGAAGGCAGGGCCGCGACTGGGGCGGCAGCAGGGCAGGGCCGCGACAGGGCGGCGAAGGCAGGGCCGCGACGAGCGGCGACGGGCCAGCGACGCGCTGCGACGGGCCGGCGACGGGCGGCAACGGGCCGGGACGGGCCGGCGACGGGCCGGGACGGGCCAGCGACGGGTGGCGAAAGGCAGGGCCGCGACAGGGCGGCTGCAGGGCAGGGCCGCAGTGGGCGGCTAAGGCAGGGCCGCGACTAGCGGCGACGGGCCAGCGACGGGCGGCGACGGGCCGGGACAGGCCGGCAACGGGTCGGGACGGGCCAGCGACAGGCGGCGAAGGCAGGGCCGCGACGGGCCAGCGAAGGCAGAGCCGCGACGGGCGGCACTAGGGCACGGCTCGAGGCACGCTTCGGGCAGGGCAGGAAAAAAAATTGTGGTGGGCCCTAAAAAAATCTTTCCCACTAGGGAACCTGCTCAGAATACCATGTCAGAATAGTGAAGGAACGAATGACTGAACTAGCAAGCAGGTGGGTACAAGTAGGAAACCTAAAAGTGTTGTACCCTATATGAACTACCCCACTACAGCCTAGACAGACTATAGCATAGAAGTTGGACAAGAGAGAGAGAGAACGAGAGAGAGAGAGAGAACGAGAGAGAGAGAGAGAGAGAGAGAGAGAGAGAGAGAGAGAGAGAGAGAGAGAGAGAGAGAACGAGAGAGAGAGAACGAGAGAAAGAGAACGAGTGAGAGCGAACGAGAAGGAGAGAACGAGAGAGAGAGAGAGAGAGAGAGAGAGAGAGAGAGAGAGAGATAGAGAGAGATAGAGAGAGATAGAACGAGAACGAGAGAGAGAGAACGCGAGAGAGAGAACGCGAGAGAGAGAACGAGAGAGAGAGAACGAGAGAGAGAGAGAGAACGAGAGAAAGAGAACGAGAGAAAGAGAACGAGAGAGAGAGAACGAGAAAGAGAGAACGAGAGAGAGAGAACGAGAGAGAGATAGAGAGGGAACGAGAGAGAGAGAGAACGAGAGAGAGAGAGAAAGAGAGAGAGAACGAGAGAGAGAGAGAGAGAACGAGAGAGAAAGAGAGAGAGAACGAGAGAGAGAGAGAGAGAGAGAGAGAGAGAGAGAGAGAGAGAGAGAACGAGAGAGAGCGAATGCAAGAGAGAGAACGCGAGAGAGAGAACGAGAGAGAGAGAACGAGAGAGAGAGAACGAAAGAGAGAGAACGAGAGAGAGAGACAAGAGAGAGAACGAGAGAGAGAGAACAAGAGAGAGAGAACGAGAGAGAGAGAACGAGAGAGAGAGAAAGAGAACGAGAGAGAGAGAACGAGAGAGAGAGAGAGAACGAGAGAGAGAGAGAACGAGAGAGAGAGAGAGAGAGAGAGAGAGAGAGAGAGAGAGAGAGAGAGAGAGAGAGAGAGAGAGAGAGAGAGAGAGAGAGAGAGTAGTACCACTTAGATTCATCCTACACCATAACGTACAGAATTAAGAAGTTGTACAAATTTATGTAAGTAAGCAAGCGCTTCGCAACCCTAAGATGATTTCGTCGCCTCTTGTTTTTTTTATATATTTTTTTTTTTAGAATTATAACTATGATTTCGCATGTGGACATGCGATGTCGCATTTACATTGTAGCGGCGTATGCGACGTCGCAATTCGCTTTAGAGAGCCCTTGTCGACTTCATTCCCTTTCGAAGTCGACCATCCGTCTGAAAAGTGTCGACTATAATTTGGTGGTCGGAAGTTGCGAGTTTCGCATACCTGCAGGCGACGCTTGCGACGTGGTTACTTTCTCAACGGCTACTGGTTGGATTGTGATGTTCGGGGATCTGACGCACCCTCAACCCCAGGGTTTAAAAGAGTTCCGCGGTTCGAACTACATTTGGAAGCTGTTTTTGTTTTCCAGCGAGGGGATGGAGTGGAGGAACACTGCACTAGGCGTTGCAGCCGTGTGTTGTGAGGACGCGTTACCTCTACCGATTTTGCACGTTCGATATTAAAAAACCGAACGTCCACCAGACTTGAAACCTACTTGTTGCACTGAAAATACTTGGAACCGTTTTCAAATCCGTAAACATTGGATCATGCGCAGGATCGATCGTGCAAAAACCGAAAGAGGTGACACGTCGGTTCAGGTCAGTTCATGACGAGTCATGACGACCCTCCCCGCAAACTACGCTGGCGACGACCCACCCGTTTCGTATGTCAGTTTCACCTCTTTCGCGACTGCTGTGGATTGCGTTGTGTTTATTTCGGACGTTCTGTTCTGACATCACATTTCTGGAAGTCACAATATCTGATTTCCCATTCCCTGAGTTTCTTGTGAAATGCACACGTGACATTCTACCGTTCACTAGCTTCACGCGGCTGCGCCATTCCCTATTATTAGCCACTCCCAAGCAGAAAGAACGCGCCGATGGGTCCCGCGGTGTTCACCGAGCTCGCGCAGCCCGCGTACGCGCGCGACCCCGACGACGACGGCGCCCACCCGGTGTCCGCGCTGCCCCCGGCGGCGCAGCTGGCGCTGCCCGTGCTCGAGCTCGTGGCGGCGGACGAGGGCGCCCACCCCAACCCGTGGACCGAGCCGCTCGAGATTAATACCGTGGCGGAGCGGCGCGCGCGCATGTGGCACCAGCTGCGCGTGGCGTGCGAGAAGGTGACTAACGCGCGGGTGCATGCGCGGTGACAGGGGGTCGGGGAAGGTCCGAGCAGGTCAGATGGTTGCGACTTGTCGTTTCGCCAGGCGCAGTTCCGACCCGTCCGTCCCAAGCATTGTCCGCGTCGTGCCTTGTAACTCTGCGTGTCGTTGTGCGGCAGGCGCAAGAGGTGGAGCGCCGAGCAGAGGCGGACGCACAAGCGAGTGCTGGCGGGGCAGCAGCAGTCGTGGGAGCAGCGCACGGGACCAGCAGCGCCGTGCCTCCGTCCCCTCATCCACCCGACCCCGCTTCTCACGCCGTTGCGGGCGGTGCGACTGCGCCGTTCACAGCAGCAGGCGCGCGTGGCGTGCCGCCCGGCCTGCTGCAGTTCGCGCGCACCGTCGCGCGCCTCGTGGGGGTGGGGGGAGGCGCGCGCGTGGCGCCGGAGTGGATGGCGGAGGACGGGGGGAGGGCGGAGGACGGGGGGATGGTGGAGGCGGAGGAGACAGACGAGGGGCGGGGCGAGGGGCGAGAGGGAGTGGACGGCGCACCTGAACTCACGCCCTCTGCTGCTGCTGCTGGCGCTGCTGGTGACAGTGCTGTTGAAGGGCTTTCAGCGCACAATAATGAGGATGCTCCTAGCGGGGTGGAGGAAGGGCAGGCAGCAGCGAGGGGCGGAAGGCCGACATTCCAGCAGTGGCAGCAGGGGGGCGCGCAGGGGGGTGTGCAGGGCGGCGGGGGGGCGGGGAGGGGCATGAGGGTGGCGGTGGGCATGCAGGTGCAGCTGCCTCGCTCCGTGTCGCCCCACATAAGGGCCTCCATCACTCCTCGCTCTGCCCGCCTTCGGCGCCGCGTCGGCGCAGCGGTGGGGGCGGATGGGCCGGCAGGGCTGGGCAGCCCGGGGGGCGGCGATGAGGGCGCGCGCAGCAGGGGCGTGGGGGGGCTGGCGGACGTGGCGGAGGATGTGAGTGTATCGAGGGGCGGGGGCAGAGAGGAGGAGGGGGCGGGGTCGTGGGGCGTGCTGCTGGGGGGCGTGGGGCTGGTGCAGCAGCGCGAGGCACGGGAGCGCGAGTGGGCGCGCGAGGCAGCAGCAGCGGAGGCGCAGGCAGCAGCGCTGGCAGCAGCAGCGGCGGCGCAGAGAGCGGCGGTGGCGCGGAGGAAAGCCGGGCTGGACGGGCTGGAGGTGACCGTGGGGGCGGGCGAGGGCGCTGCCGGGGCAGGGGGCGCAGGAGGAGGGGGGGCAGAGGGTGGGTGGGGCGTGGTAGGGTTCATTCGGGTTGGGGGGGAGGGCGGTGGGGAGGAGCAGGAGCGGCGGCTGGAGGTGGCGTGTGCCATCCGCGTGCGCGACACGGCCTCGGGGCACGAGTACCTCGTGGAGCGCCCTGCGCTGCTGCTCTGGGGGGGGGAGCACGGCGCATGCGGGGCAATGGGCGCGGAGGCCGTGCCGTGGGGCCTTGGGGGGAAGGCGATGAGGGCGCGAGGGCAGGCGGGGGCGTCCACTGGCGGGGGGAGTGTTGGCGGGGCGGGGGTTGAGGGCGTGGCAGAGGGGGAGAATGTGGCAGCGCTGCTGGCTCTGAAGGCCGTGAGGCAGGCGGTGCGCGAGGAGAGGGTGGTGGAGCGGCGCCGCAAGAAGAAGACCCAACCGGCGCCCGCAGGCGCTGCAGCTGGTGGCATGGCGGGTGCAGGCGAGGGCGAGGAGAGGCCAGCAGAGGGCGCAGTGGAAGGGAAAGGGAGTGCTGCAGCAAGTAGCAGTGCACGGGACAGAGGCACTGTGGGGAGTGATAGGGAGGGCGGTGAGAGGGAAGGGAAGGCAGGCAGGGCGGAGGGGAAGGAGGAGAAGGAGGGGAGGGATGGTGGAGAGGTGGGTGCGGTTGAGAGTGGTGAGGAGGGGTCGGACGCGGAGTACCGTGAAGGGGTGCGGTTTGTGAGTGCGAGGCGGGACACCCTGGGCCTGACAGATGATGAGGAGGAGGGCGATGTGGCACGCTGTGAGGTGTTTGCTGATATCGAGGAGGCGGGAGAGGAGGAGGAGGGGGATGAGGAAGAGGAGGAGGAGGAGGACGAGGAGGAAGAGGAAGGAGACGAAGAGAGGGAGGGGGTTTCAGCGGAAGTGGGGGGGAAAGGGGGCGGGGAGGGGGAGCGGGAGGGGCAGCGTGGCGACAAGAGTGGGTCACCGGAGGAGAGTGGGAGGAAGTCCAGGTGGGGGCGCAGGCCGGGCAAGAGCAAGGCGGGCGCAGGGGTGGGGGGAAGCGAGGAGGGGATGGACGGGGAGGAGGAGGGCGGGGAGGGCAGCAAGGAGGAGCGGGGCGGCGTGGAGGATGGGGGGGAGGGGGGCGCGCAGGGCCGGCCCAAGTCGAGCCGCGGGCGCGGGTGGCTCAAGGTCATCTACCGTGCTGCTGGGTACGGCAGTGGCAGTGGCAGTGGCAGCGGGAAGGCCAAGGATGGCGGCAAGAGTAAGGGGGGCCAGGGGGAGGACAAAGAGGGCGGTGCGGGGGTTGGAGGGGGAGCGGTGGGGGGGGAGGGCAACGGAGATGGGGGCGGGTGGTCGGGGGAGGGAGAGAGACTGGGGGAGCCATCAGTGCAGGCAGGGGAGCGCTCAGACCAGCCACCTGCCGGACCTCTGGGAGGCTCGGGCCTAACCTCATCCGGACTAGCAGGCTCGGGGCCAGGCATGGCGAAGGCAGCAGCAGCAGGGGCGGCAGCAGGCGGGGGGGGTGGGGCAATGGGCACTCCTGCGGTGGGGCCAGTGAGGGTGAAGGTGTCGGCTGTGAGGAAGCCCTCCCGCCAGCTGTCGGACCTGTGGCTGCGCCAGGAGGTGCGCGGCGCACATGACGGCGCCGTGTGGGTGGCGCGCTTCAGCTGCTGCGGGCGCTACCTGGCCACGGGCGGGCAGGATGGCGCTGTGCGCGTGTGGCGGGTGGAGGGGGCAGCAGGGGGGGCGGGCGAGGGGAGTGGTGCAGCGGACGAGGTGGTGGTGGGCGCGTGGGAGCGGCGTGGGGTGAGGCTGGGTGGGGGAGGGGGCAGTGGAGGGGTGGAGGTTGGGGGCGGAAACACAGGAAGCGCGACGGTGAAGGGGTGGGAGGAAGCTCAGGTGCGGGTGAGAGGGTACCCACGGGAGTGGTTGGATGGGACGCCAGCATTCGCTTCGGAGGAGATTGCCCCGCCTGCCCTCCCCCACGCCGCGTCGCTGTCGTCTGGCTTCCGCTCCGTGCCTTCCTCCCCCATGCACCCCCTGCTGCGCCCCTCCTCTGCCGCCCCCCACGCACCTCCAGAGGCAGCGCCACGCGGCCGCGGCAGCGGCAGCGGCAGCGGAGGCGGGGGTGGCGGGACGAGCATGGGGCGGGCGGTGGCGCTGTTCCGCCTGCAGGAGGCGGCGCTGTGCTGCTTCACGGGCCACTCCGCTGACGTGCTCGACCTCGCCTGGGCGCCCAACGGGGTGCGCCCCTCCCCACGCCTCTCATGCCGCCTCTCATGCCGTCCCTCATGCCGTCCCTCATGCCGCCCCTCCCCACGCCCCTCCCCATGCCCCTCCTCAACACCTGCCTCAGTGATCCTCTTTTCTCTCCCTCCTTGCCAGACCCACTGTTCGCATCCATGCATACAAGACCTCTCATCGCCATCCCCATACACGTGTGCCCCTCCGTCTCCTCCCCCCCCTCCCAATGCAGCGCCCGCTGCTGGTGTCGGCCTCAGCGGACAGGACGGTGCGCTTGTGGCACGTCGGCTCCTCGCACTGCCTGCGCGTCTTCCCCCACCTCGACATAGGCAAGTGCACTGTTCCACCATAAATTGCGCTGAGCTGCCGGCACTCATGGGCCTGCTTTGTGTGCAAACTGAATATGGGGCCTTTTCAAGCTGCATTGCAACTGCCTTTTACTGTCCCATTCTTGTACCTCTTGTTTTGAGTTCCATGCTCGTGCAACGACACGTATTTGCACCCCCTGCCCCACAGTGACGGCGGTGGCGTGGCACCCGCGGCAGGCGGGTGTGTTTCTGACAGGGGCGCTGGATGAGAAGGTGCGCGTGTGGGCGGCAGCGCAGGGCGCCGTGCTGGACTGGGTGGACGTTGGTGAGATGGTCACTGCCGCCGCCTTCACCCCCGATGCCCAGGTGCGTGCCTTCACCCCCGATGCCCAGGTGCGTGCCTTCACCCCCGATGCCCAGGTGCGTGCCTTCACCCCCGATGCCCAGGTGCGTGCCTTCACCCCCGATGCCCAGGTGCGGCTGCCCATGGTGCCACAGCCTTGTGTGCTCAGAGAGGTGCGTGCTGTGAAAGCTTTGTGTGCTGCTAACGCTCTGGTATGGATGCACTGTTTTGTGCCCAAGTGTGAATGTGGAGCTCTAACCATTCTCTCCCCTGGTGTGTTGTTCTGTGTGGCGGTGTGTGCTCACTCACAGGGCATAGCAGTGGGGACAGCCATCGGCAACTGCCGCTTCTACTCCATCTCTGGTAACCACATCATGCTGCACACGAGAGAACACACGAGACCACGGCGTTCATGCAAATTGTCCATCCTCATTGCCAGACTTTTGCAATTCCGTAACCCCTCTCACCCCTCTCACCGCACCCACTCATTCAACTCCTTGACCCGTTTCTCCCCGTGCATGCTCGGCTTGGCAGCTGACGGCGAGCTGAGTCTGGACGAGTTGTGTCGGCGGCCGACTCGCGCCTGCAGCTGTACCAGGGCGCGCAGCTCAAGTGCAAGCTGCAGGGCCACAAGAACACCACCTCGCACCTCGCGGCGGCTGTGAGTGTGGGCGGCGACTTCATCGTGACGCCCAGTGAGGACGGCACCATCTTCCTCTTCAACCCGCCTGGGCTCGTTGCCAAAACCGGTCAGCCGAATGACCGGCAGAAGGCATACGAGTATTTTGCGTGCCCGAGCGTGAGCAGTGCAGTGGCAGTGTGGCCGCTGGGGGTGGAGAGGCGGCGAGTGGGGCAGTCGTCGCTGCTGCCCTCAGGTGCTGCCAGCGCCTCTCTGCCCGGCCTGCTGCCTGACCAGCCACGTCTCATCCCCCGGGGGATCAGCTCCGCCTCTCCTGCTGCCACCGTCACGACACGCCTAGGCGCTGCTCCTTCCCCTGCCACTGCTGCAGCGCCTGCCACTGCCAGCAGCGGTGGCGGCAGCACGGTGGGGCTGTTCTACGGGGGTGCGGCTGCCCTCACAGCAGCCGCAGTGGCGCCTTCTCCCTCGCCGACATTGGCGGGCGCGGACTGGGAGCAGAGCAGCCGGGGCAGCCATGGGGACAGTGATCCCAGCCGCCCCACCACGAGTGCCAGCGTGGGTGGCAGTGCAGGGCATGACAGCACGTCCATGGGGGGGTCGGGCGAGGCGGACAAGGCGGTAAGGGAGCGCTTTGAAGCTGCTGTGGCCGCCATCGCTGATGGCGGGGCAGGCGCTGCGCCTGGTGATGGTTCGGGACAGGTAGTGCAGGACGGAGGTTGGAGTGTGGCAGCAGCAGATGGGGGAGCAGCATCAGCAGGCGCTAGCAAGCCTCTGCTGCACTCTGCTGCCCCAGGGGCGTCACGAAGCCCTCTTCGTCTTCTCTCCCCCTCCTGGGCGGCAAGTGATGAGGTGGGGGGCGGCGGCAGCAGTGCAGCCGATGGGCTGGAAGCGGCGGCAGCAGCAGTGGCGGGCACAGAGGGACCAACGCAGGCTGGACCGAACGCAGCAGCACAGGCAGCGGGTGGAGCAACAGCAGCAGCATCGAGACGGAAAGAGCAGGTGGCAGCCGCCGCATCAGCTGCCGCACCCACACCACCCAAGGGCAGAGCCGCAGCCACAGGGGGGGGGGGCAGGAGGAGGGGCAGGGGGAGGAGGGGGGGAGGGAGGGGGGTGGCAGTGGGGCGAGGGCACGGCGGAGAGGGCGTCGGCACTGGGGCTGGTGATCGTGGCGGCCAGCTTCACGGGCGAGCTGAGGGTGTACCAAAACATGGCCGCCCCCTCCAAGGGGTAGCCCTCCCTCCCCTCTCCCTCCACCCCTAGCCGCAAGCGCGGGGCTTCCCAACCCAACAGTGGAGAGGGGTTAAGGGGGTAAGAGGGGGGAAGGGGGGAAGAGGGGAGAAGGGGGGGAGGGGGGGTGGGGTGTTGCCACTGTTAAGAACGTACGAAACGGGAATGGCATAAACTAATAGGATGGGAGTACAAATATGAAACCCTAGAAGTTGTACTCCCTAAGGCTAGCCCCACTATAGCCTAACAATATACCGGTATGAATATAGTTTTGACCAGGGCTTATTTTTGGTTTCTCAATACTCTGATTTTCAGGGTTGTGTTTTTAGGAACTGCATGGTTGATCTTGAGCGTAACTCTGATTTGTCAGAGAAATTGTAACTATTGAAAAAAAAACCCTGGCCAGTCAGTGTAACTTTTCTAACTACTCTGAATGTCCTCTCAAGTATTGAACCCGCGCCTCCCGCGCGTGAACAAAATCAAATACACTGTACCAGGCAGGCCCCACGTTATCAGGGCAAAACATCCTGATTACGGTACCTTGAAATCAGGATGCAGTTTTGAATTTGCCCTGTAATTTCAGAATAGTGTCAATTTTAACCCTGTGGTCTCAGGATGTTGTTATACGAAATGCCCTGGACATTCAGGATGGTCGCGGTGTTCTTCCCTGAAGCGTCATGATGAATGTCGAGGCTTGCCCTGACGCGTTTTTAGAGGGGGGGATGGGGGGAGAGGGGGGGTGTTTCCGTTCCCGGGGAAATTTTTCCCCTGGATTTTTTTTCCCCATATTTTTTTTTCCCCGTGTCTTTTTCCAGCCTTCGCACGATTCCTTTGACAGTTCCGATCCCCTGCAACGCACCAGCCAAACCCATCAGATTGGGAACAGGTTGGGCAAGGCAACACTCTTGTCTCCTCGTGTGCCATGCATGCACCCTTCCAGTGTTGCTGTTAGAGTTATGGTGGTGTTCTCTGGTCTAGTCTGGTGGTCTTCTCTACCCTGGATTAGTTAGCAAGCGTAGAACCATGCTGGTGCCACTAGAATTGTTAAAAACAGAACCCTGAACACTCGTATTTTTGCCTTGACAGGCCAGGATAAATTTCTGTAGAAGCCCTGAAACTACAGGAAGCCTCTGAAAATTTGCCCTGACAAATCAGGGCATTTTTTCAGATTCTGGAAAGTTGCCCTGAGGCCTCAGGATGCCCCAAAACCTAGCACGGGCCCTGGTACCAGGCCCTCAGATTTACTTTTAGGCAGGGTAATGCATCAGGGTCCCTCTGTGTAGAATCCCTGATTGACAGTGTCCCCTAAAAAAAAGCCTGAAACATCAGTGTTACCTTAATAAAAAGTCTGATGCATCAGTGTTCCCTATAAAAAAAGGCTGTTATTATTAAAGGTCGTTAAATTAGATAACACTAGCAAGAAGCCTTCTGATTCTAAAACAAAGCTTAGCTAGCTAGCATCAGCAAGATTGGGTTTAATCATCATAAGATTCCTTGTCATAATCATCACTGCCCTTAGCCTCTGGTTCCAACTCCTCCTCAACTGCCTCCTTTCCCTTGCCACTGCCCTCCCCCTCTCTGCCCTCCCACATTGCCAAATGGGCAGCGCTTCTTGTAGCTGCGCCAGATCTGCACCACTTCATCGTAGTCTGGCTTGTACTCGAGGAGAGACATCGTGATGAGGTCTTCAAGGCGGGCGTCTTTGAGGCTCCCCCGCTGCCATGATTTGATAATGTTATGGCGTGAAAACCCTCGTTCACACTCCACTGTGCTCAACGGCAGCACGGCAACAGCCACCCAGAGACGCACCAGATTGGGGTAGCTCGTCGTCCAGTCACTTGTCTTCAGCATCGCTGTTAGCCCGGTGTGGAAGCTGCGCCCATTCTTCGGGGCACCTGCGAGGCTGGGGCAGAAGGTACGTAGTTCTTTGATCGCCCGCCGCTTGTCGATCCCTGCAAGATAAGACATGAGGGAGAGAGAGAGTGGATTAGATGGCCTGGCATATCCGCGCACAATACACTTGAACCTTGCAAAGAACAAACCTCATGGACAACATAATTGTATGCAAAACGAAAACTTGGAATGATGTAGTCCGTCTCCTGTGCCCAGAACAGTGACTTGAGTGACATGAGCCACTCGAGACATTATTTGTGGCGCTCCGCCCTCCCAAGCTCCCAATTGTCTGGCATGAAGAGCCTGACTCCCACAAGGGAATCCAAGTCTTTGAATCTCTTGCCGAGGTTACGCACGAGCGTTTCGGCAAACACGGTGCAGAGATCCGCGCATAGCGGGACTCGAGGTAAGACAATGATCTCTGGATCAGCGCATGGACATATGCAATGTCGAGCTATTTGGGGCCGATTGAAAGAATACAGGACGGAGATAAGAACAAAAGAGGGAATGAACACAAAATCAATGCGCTGTAGCTTGTTTTCGCAATCAACAATAATCCATTAACAAACACAAACCGAAGCCAAGCAAACAATAACGGGACATCATGGGAGGATCAGTAGACGCTATACACAGAGATGCAAGTAACCCTGCTCAAGACGTTCAGCTGCTCGAGCATTTATGCAAGGAAGTACAACAGGAAGTGAAACCTGTAGCTGGTGGCGAGCTCGTACAGACTACTGTCCCACTCATGCAGCATGATGATGAGCGCGGAGAAGACCTCTACCGCGCGCAGAATAGCGTCAGCCTTGGAGAGCCAGCAGACTTGGTGAATCCCTTGGAGCTCCAGGTTCGTAGCCGTGAAAACTTCCTGAAGCTCAATAAACCGTTGGTGCCAAGGGTTAGAACACCCCAGATGCTCAGCCACTTGGTGGAGCAGCGAGTCGACCATCTCGAACTCGTAAAGTGCTTCAGCTGCATCTTTTGCTGAGAGCGCCTCCCTGAGTTCACAACAAAACACAAACCGGCACCACGAGGCATGAGCACAGGTTGCTACAGCTACTCCAGAGAAGCGGAAACTCAACCGAGAACGTACATCTGGGCAATGCAGTGGCTTGAGACGAGATGCGGTATGCGGAGGCGGAGTCGAGCGACAAGGCCGTTACTTTTCCCCATCATCACACTCGCGCCGTCAGTGCTTATGCCGGCGATTCTGGCAAGATCAATGCCGAGGGCCTGCAGGTGGGAAAGGAACACTGAGAGGAGAGAGGTGGCATCGCCCTTCTCCACAGTCAGCAGGGCAAGGAACTTAGTGACGACATGGTTCTCACGGATGAAAGTGGCAAAATCATGTGCTTTCCCCGACACCTGTCCGTGCTCTTGTCACATGTAACACCGAGGTACGGGCTTGAAAGGATGTGATGCAGTTGTGTTTTGTGCAACCACGTGGCCATCAACTGTGTTAGTTGCCCGAAGACGTATCTATGGTGCATGTGAGACAATGTCAGAGATAATCAGTTGCGAAACACAACCACAGCTTACATGTTTGAAAAAGGGTTACTCACGTAGTATAATAGGTCCCATATCCTTCTCGATGTCGCGAGCAAGATTGTCGCTGTTGATCTGGGGCTGCATGGCAGCTTCCAATAGAAGTTTTTCGTGGCTCTTGATCGCCTCCTTGTGCTTGGTTTCAAGAATCAAGTGATTTCGAAGCTCTCTAAAAGGGTAAACTTTAAGATAGTGAGAATAGTTGCATTACTTTGTGTAGTGTAACATTTCTCTTGGTGTAGGCCCTTGTGGAGGGTAGTTTCGAGACCCTTCGTGATTGGGGACGAAGTGGAACTGTTCCACATCACTGTACCTCGACTCTTGGGGTTTGTAGGAGCTGGGAGTCATTCCCAACTCGTAACTCTTCCTAATGTGTGTTCTAAGACTATAGTGGCTGCCATACTACCATTCATTCAAACCGACGCTATGTCGTCAATTATTTATGAAATCGTGCAATCTAAATTGCAAAGTGTAGGTGACGTCACAACGCTCGAGATCCAATTTGAATCAAGTCATTTGAATCTGTGAAAAGAACGCTATCAACGTTTGAAGGCGCTGTGCAGAAATCCGTCTGTGCACTCTATCTTTCGTTGTAGGCACATTCAAGCCTATTGTGACAATAACAAGTGGTATCAGAGCCCCTTGGAGCAGTTTCGACAATGGCTGGACCTGAGGAAAAGGGTGGCAGAGGTGCTGGTGGCAGTGGAGAAGCCCTAGCTCAAGGCCAACCCCGTGATTCAGCCATGGCGCCCGTGCAACCAAGTCTTGGCCCACCTAGGGATGAGCCTAGGGTGTTTGGGCTTGACAAGTTCAATGGCGACAACTTCTCTGAATGGTCCTTCAGAATGTAGAATGTATTTGACCACTAAGACCTGCTGGAGGTGATAGAAGGAACGGAGAAGCGCCCCGAGAACGACCCGGAGAAGAGCCCGTGGGTGCGGAAGAGCGCACAAGGCTATCTCCTACTTGGGCAAGCGTTGGGGAGCAGCCAGATCCGTCACATCAAGCCATTCCAGCGTGAACCAGAGAAGGGACCAAAGGCATGGGCTGCTCTCAAGGGTGTACACGCTCCTGCAACAGCGGCGGTAGCGGTGGTGTTGGAACGGCAAATGGCGGAACTACGAATTGAAGAAGAGGAAGCGATTGAAGAAGGGGTGCAGCAATTCTTCGACTTGTTGACGCAGCTTGAGGGAGCTGATTTGAACTACAGTGAGCTCCAAAAGAAGACCAAGTTGCTGGCCTTACTCCCAGAGTCATGGTCCTTGCTCATCATCAACCTCAATCGTGACTTGCCCCGCCTGTCGCTTGAAGACGTGAAGCGAGCGATCCTTCAAGAGGACTTCCGCCGCCGTGAGTTGGCGAGTGCGGATGACGCTGGGGCAGCAAGCATCGGCCGAGGGTATGGCCGTGGAAGGGGCAGAGGATGAGGGGGAGGCAGATTTGGCAGCAACAACTTCAATGGAGGCCGCAGGAGTGGCGGATACGGCAGCGACGACAAGAGCTACGGACGTGGTCGCGGCCGATTCGACGGCGAATGCCACTATTGTCACAAGAGCGGACATATATGGCGCGATTGCTACAAGCTCCCTGATGGA